TTTTTTTTTAAAAAAATCTTTTTTTTTTTTTTTTTTTTTTTTTCTTGGAAAAATATCATCGTCGGTAACGCAATTAGTAATAAATATCTATTTCCTGTAAGAAAAATTGAATGTAAATAACCAGGAATATAAAAAATCTTGGGAGCGAAGATGCAAATATTTTCTAAATAGCTTCTTCGAAATTCTTTGTCAAGTAGAATATAAATAAATAAACTCGATGAAAACTGTTTTGGATGCTCGAAACTCGTAAACCAGACACATCGAACATACAGATAGGACAGATATAGACACGCTCGGCAATTGTTTACATAATAAGCTGATATTGAAGTATGACGTACCTTTTAAGCGGAGGATATCGCGCGTGCTGCGCGATTCACACGGCGAAGCAGAAACGCGTGACGAAACCGTCGCACTTTACGCTTTGAGACGGCGTTTTTGGGTCAAGTGAAACAGTTAAATGGTCGGTGGTTCGTTTTTGACCTGAACAATCGCAGGAGTCTCTGTTTAAAAAAACCAGGCTAACGAAACAGAACATCACGACTTTCTATCTTACTTCGGGAAACGAATCTTCAAGTTCATAGTAAATGCTTCGAATTCACGCACATCAAATAAAATGAAAAGGAAACGCATTGTACGAATATCATCTTTCCACAACTTCCTTCGAGTTGTTCTGCAACACATTAGAAGCGTCATGATAATGGACGTTTGTTCTAACGATAATTAACCTTGTCACTGTTGGACACTATCGCCGATTATACTTACGCAAGCTCACTCAACATACTAACACAAGTTCTTGAACAAACTCGACTGATTTACAATTCTCGATTGACCATTTATCGGTAACGTTATCTAAAATATGCTCTTAATCGTCGCGAAACCACGGCTATGTCAATTTCATAGACGATAACGATCGAAATTGCTTCGCCGCGATTATCTTCTATGAAAATGCGAATTGTGTTTATAAACGTATTGCGTGCATATATAGGTATTTCAAGAACTCGAGTAGCGAACGTGAGCTCTCCAGAGAGATTTCTATGCAACTTAATTAATTCTTGGCTAAAGCGAAGATGATTAGCGCTGTATCGTTGAGTTTGGTTAATCGTACAATCGATTTATTATATGGCTGCAGTTTATTCCTAAAGCGATAATAATTTTTGCTGTAATTGACGGGACAAACGATTACGTGGTGATTTGTGGTAATTCAGTGACGTAAGGATCAACTAGACGCTCTTTCCTCGTAAATAATTTCACAGATATCGACAAAAATAGATGCGGTAAAAACTCTTAATTGCTTTACTACTTATATCGCCACTTCCTTGTTATATAATAAATTTATGATGTTACGTGCACGCAGTAATTTAGAACAAATACAAAAATGTTCAACAAATTACGTAATTGTTTCGAAATGAAAATAAGTACAAGCGTTGCATTGAATGTGAAATTAATCGAGAATCTGAAATACATCAATTTCTATTTCAGTAACTTGTATTTATTTGTATTATATCTTGTGCTTTCATTTCTTTCTAAATTATTCGTTTAAACGTTAAATCGCATTAATAATTCCGTCCAATTTACGGAAAATCCTTTTATACAAATATTTTTTCCACACAGAAATGTTAAGAAATTTATTATTATCGTATATCTTCGTCGATACCTAAAAGACATTAAAAGTCTTGGTTCCCGCCTCTTTTGGCGTGTAGACCTCATATAACCGATCGATGACCGAAGTTCTTAAGATTATTGAAATTCGAGAACAGTTAGATTGGCAGTGCTTTCCACGTGTTATTAACCCGGACACCTTTATTCTACATTAACGGAGTTGCACCCTCCTCGAAAATAGGCTCATCGATCAATTGACCGACTGCTACGATATTTCTATATATAAACTCGCTTCTCGTTGAAGGAGAGCTGATATCGATATCTATCCGCTAGCCACGTCTCTGCAGTTGAACTTATCGAAGGTTCGACGGTTTCCTTTCCCAAACACGTGTTTCGACCCCATCGTGATATCGTCCAAGTAGAAAGGGTGTGGTTCCTGTTTCTAACCGTTTAACCGATAGCACTAGTAGACAGGGTTTATCAGTCTATTTTAGACACACAATTTCGATCTTTTGCTGGAGAAATGAAGCAAAACATAAGAAATCGAGATAACGACCGCTGAAGAAATAACACAGTTCTATGAAATTTCTCGATATTTGAACATTTCTACGAATTCAAAGATACATGTATGTATAGTTAGGTGGTTTTAAATAAAGAATTTATCACTTTTATGAAATATACATCGTAACTAAATAAAACTCTGTAATTCGTCTTATCAAATGTGACTCATGTAATTCGTGTAAGAGATGATAAAGCTGATTGCGCTTGTTACTGGTTATTTATAAGATATACAACACAATGACACGTTCTTCTTTGAACATCTACCATGAACTTTTCCGTATATATTATGTGTACTATTTTCAAATATTCTGAAATATATTAACAACATTGTAGTAAAATATGACTATTACGATTGTATTGGTGAACATTGGTTTCTAACAAATGCGAATTTGTATGCAGAAATTACAGGACATTTACCATAAATATCTAATACATTTCGTAGAGATCACAAAAGCATTTGACGCGGTATATACGATATTCTCTTAAATATACAAATAGTTAATTGATCTAGGTAATTTTATCCAGAAATATTAACGTAATAAATGTTCGTGTCATACTACAGTGATATTTTATATAACACGCGTAACATACATACTTTCGTGTGTTACTGTAAACATTCCTCCGAAATGTCAACAATTAATTTGACCATCGAGCAAAGAACTAAAACTTTAAGTCTGTTCTAGCGCCTTAGGTTTTTATGGTTGGTTGTTATAAGATGACACATTGAAACTAAACTTGTTTTGGTGTTGCGAACGTCGGTAGGACGAAAACACGAACGACTAACTTGTTTTGGCGGAAGCAATACATTTATTGCTTCAATTATGGAAGAATCGATATATCGTGATATGGACAGAATATGTATTCAACGATTTCGAGCGAAAATCCTGTCAAACGACATGCTATTTGCATATTAATATCGAAAATGTGATCGTAAAGCTAAATGGAAAATTAATTGTCACGACTTACTCCTAGAACAAATGTCAACGTGTACCTAGATAATAAAAAAAGATCATAACCTTGGTAATGATATATTTGAAAAGTCGTGAGAAAATAAAAATAATAATGTGCTTCATAAATTGCAGCTCGTTTCCTCGTCGTGAAATGTCAGTTAATTAGAATAAACGATTTAAAAAGATCGATACCACGAGTTAGTAACGATGAATAAGTAATAGAAAGGGAACCACGAGATGCATGAAATGCAACTCGCCATTCCCATGCCGCACCTTTCTCCTCGGGAGATTGCCTTTGAATATGAGATGCGGCAACAGCAATAAATGCATATACGAAAGACTATGAATATATTTATTGTTTGCGTGCCAAGTAGAAACGTTTTCTTCTTAAGGATACACCGGTAATGTTTTGGAAGTTTCGTTTCGACCTGTGTATGATGATGGGTTTACGTTTACTGCGTGGGAAAACAGTATTACTTGCGAATACCGTACGTGGAATTTGCAAGAAGATTGGTTATTTAGCTTCTCATAGGCAACGCGGGTCGTTCATGTCCCGAACGAAATTCTACTCGTCAATTTTTCACAAGCGAATTTTTACTATTTCTAAAAAGCCATTCAAACGTTTGATTCAAAGGCGCATGGTATAACGTAATAAAGACTTTGATAAGTACAGACAATTTTTAGGTTTTTTCAAGACACCGGACAGTAAAAAAAAAAGAAGGAAATAAATGTGAACATACACAATTCAGTTTGTGCACGGAAAGTGCAAAAATATGAGTGTCCATGGAGGATTAAGCGTACTCAATTTTATCAAAAATGTGAATCTGTACGACGCAAACTTTATAAAGTGACCAAAAGGAGTGCAAAACTTCTTTTCCAAAAAAACACTGCAGCAAAATGACCATTGTAGTTCTAAGAAACGAAAACCATTCGATATAATCAATTTATAGAATTACTACTTGCCTGCAGTGGCAAGTGAAAAACAATTAAACATTTCCAATAACAATAAATCAAACACTATGTTAAAAATATACAAAATCCTATGACCTTCCAAAGAAGAAGCGGCTTGCGTCCTAGAAACAGCGATTTACTAGCAACCCATAAAATTCAACGAAGATAGTACATAAAGGGGGTGAAATAGAAGAAGGAAACAAGTTGTTTACGGTCACAATGTAGCCGGCGACGTAAGCTTAGCAGCGAAGGTCTCGGAAAGTAGGTGATTCGACGTAAGAACTCACGCTCGATACAAAAGGAACAAACACACGCAACCAGTGAGCCAAGAAGATAGTGGGGCTGGAACGAAATTCCAACTACGTTTTCAGTTCCTGTTTGATGCTATAAATCTTTCGATTTCGTCGCGTAACGCTCTAATAACAAGAAACAACTTCATTTTTTCTTTTTTTTTTCTTTCGTTTCCTCTTCCCTTTCTCTTCCATATTGTGTATCATAGTGTCGAGTCACTGTAGGAACACCAGAGCCGGAAATACGGCGAGAAGTTAAGTGGAAATCCGAGAAAAAAGAAAAGAAGGAAACCTGCTGAGAGTACCTATAACTAATCGTCAAAACGTGACGCTGGTGAAAGTAGCGGATACGATGAGAAAAAAGGAATAAAAATTGTGAAATAAGCTAAATGCTTTGTACGAGAACGTAAAAATGTTGTTCTTCATAGTTTGGAAATAATACGAAGCGTGTCTTTTTGTAAAAGTAGTAGTTTCGAACGTAAAGAATTATTGCAGCGTTAGTTCTATTTAATATCTATGAATGTATGTTAATGGGATAGCATAAAATTTCTAAAGACTTACTCACTCTATTTAACTTATTAACAGTGTAATAAAATGACGGAGAATTCGAAATGAACAATTTAGATTTAGGTTTAGATTTCTGCATTTTTAGTATTGAATGTAAGATGATACTTTCAATTTTTTACTTGTATAAGTATGTACATCTGTTAAATTACACACTGAACGTTTGTACCGTGTGGAGGCTGCGACAGTGAAAGGGTTACAATATTTCCGTTGCGAAGATCACCACACAAAAGCTTTATTGTTCCGCTCAATACGTTTCTCCGAATAAGATCTCCGCGTAGAAATGAGTTGTCGAGCATAGTTTTGCACATTCTTGGTCAGAAATATCCTTTAGTCGGGGAATAATCTCGCCGTGGCGAATATCTCGCCACGTAGTGTATGAAAGGCCCTTTCAGACTGAAACATAATTATCCGTCAGTCAGTTCGCAACATTTCCCCCTGGTTGCATCGACCGACCGGTCGATTCTCCGGCAAATTAAAAAGTTTCACGCAGCGTCGTTTGCGTGGGTGCTGTGCTTTCGCGATAGTTTACGACCACGAAGGAAATCAAGGACACGAATTCAAATTTATTTCAACATGCTTCCTCCCTTCAAATAAACTGAAATAGTAAATAGAAACGATAAGGAAATTATTTCAGGGGAGATTAGCGAAATTGAAGACTTAATACGAAAATAAAACAAACGATCGATCTTCCTGGCGTTAATAGTCTTAAGTTACAAGTCCTGCGCCTCCTTTCTATTTGGTAAACATGGAACTATGATTATTAGGTACGAGACTCGATGATATATTTTTAATCGACACATTATTATGCCCCGCGGATTAATATCAGGATACTGAGAAAATTGCTTCCTCTGCAATAAAGCATCTATAACGTAGTTGCATTAAGTATCGCTTGTAGCTTCCATTCTTCGCTGTTTGAATAGCGCTTTTAATTTTAAAGAAGAATCGTATAATGGGCACCGAGAGAAGAATAAAGCCAGTCGTATACAGAAGGATACGGATACAATAGATTCGAAACAACTTTGGTTTCTTGAAAGGGAAAGAGAACAGATACACAGTTAAAGCGTTTGATTGTGCTGTTTCAAAATGACGAAGAATTTCAGGCTTGTTCGGTAAAACATCAGTTTTGTTTAACGGAAAAATTTTGTATTTTGGAAAAAATATATGCTTCCTCGATAATGTATCCGAATATGTACTTAATATTTGCACATCCCTATTATTCTGCCGAGTTCTAACTTTACCCCTGAGTTTAATGGACGCCATTTCATAAAGTATCTAACACGGAAGCACTGTGATCTGTTTGCAGAGCAACGTGGCGTATCGCGACAGTGATTTTACCGGTCGTTCCTCATCCCTTACGAGTTTAAACGGCGAGGAGGCGCGACCGAACACAGGAGAGAAAGCGAGAAAGCGAGAGAAGACATGCGTGTAACGTCACTGGTTTACGCGCATTCACGCGACCAAAAAACGTGCGGCAGGTTTCGAAAATGGAACGATCGTTTCCCTATAAACGACACATCGTAAATTCCAGCGGCGTGGTCGAACGTTAAGCCGATTGCGGGCTCGTGAACCTTAAGTCGGCGTTTCAACTTTAGACCGCTTTAAAATCCCAGCCACGGAAAGATGCGGCCGGAAGTGAAATAGAGAAAAACGTCGAGCGAAAGTCGTAGACGTCGGGACGTATGGCAAAAGGGAGGCTATTTTCTCCGTTCCGTCTCTCCCTCGCCTCTTCTTTATTCCCCTTTTTCCCTGCCTAACGATCCTCTTACCTCATGCTGTAGGACCTTCCCGGTTTGGAGGTCATTGCACCGCGCCGGGTGGTTGCAACGGGGGTGGCTGCCACGGCGGATCGATTTTCCACAACGATGTCGAGGTAGGTACCGAGAAAAATCCCCTTCACTGTGTCCCCCTTCGATGTGACGATCGACGACCAGCCCCACGGACTGGTCCCCCACCGTGGCACACTACGCTTCTTGGCACGTGACTACGACGTAAAAACTCGAAACGCTACGTCGCGAAGCGGAACATCCTCGAGAGGAGACTGAAATCGATTGGCAAACCCTGTGGCGCCAACCCACCTACTGCAAGACTGTCGGTCCTTCGAGAATCGCGACGTCGATCGTTCAACGGGGTGGAAATGATCCGATGGGAGGGTAGAGATGGAAAGCAGCCACGTTGATGGAGCCTCACGTTGCTGACAATTGATTGCTCCACTGTTACGTGCGCGAGTATCTCTTGGAATTTTTTCACTGACAGAATTTCACTTCGAACTTCACATAGACTCTTTGCGAATGTCTGGGCTTTAAATCGTATACGAATAATCATTTAAGGGAATCACAACGATTATACCTATTTTAATAGCGATTCGCTAATAAAATGGTACCTCAATCTTAAACTATACAAAGCGAAGTTACGAATCACTAAACGATATCTGCCGATATCGTACACTTTTCCTTCGAGCTTCGCTCGATCCACGTGCAACACGACCGCCGAACGTCGTAGTATCTGATTCACGCGATTGTTACAAACTGACTGACTGGGAACCGCTTCCCTAACTACGTAACTCGTTAACTCCAGATGTCGATAGTGATTGATGAGCGTTGGCGCGAAGGTCGGAGATCCCTGGTGGCACGATTTTTGCGACGGCGTTCGCGATCGGCTGCTGACTGGGCGCTGTCACAGGCAGCCACGCGTGTAAACAGATTCTACGAAAGTCCAATGTCATGGCCCGACCACGCGGCCGTGTTCCACGATCGTTTACGTTCGCACGAACGGTTATAGTCCATTGATGACACGGGCACGCACGTTTTCGGCCACGGAATCGTCGTTGCACTTCCGCGCCGGTCCTACTCGTCTTACCACTCCATCGTGCCCGGGATCGCGTGGTCGTGGATAGCTATTGGAACGATATCAGACTGTAGCCACTCGATTCATCTCGAATTGTTATTGGCTCGTATTCGATTTCGATATTTCTCGTTCATTCTCTTTGCTCCGATTATATTTGTCATATCCACGTATACAAAAATTGTATTATGATACTGAATTGATGGACTGTTTAAAGACGATTTAAGATACCCAGATAAGATAACTCATTTTTATTTTACCTATTCAATTAAACAATATCTTTGACGAAATTACGAGACGATAACACAGACAATCGGTGATCCATGCGACGCGAATCATGCCAGACCTGGGTCATTTACCAACCCCAAAAGAACCCTCGCTTCAACATCCACTCCACACATAATCCACCCCTTTCCAAAATGAAAGAAAAAAAAATATTTTCAATAACCATTGTCCAGAACACGAGCCAAAAACAACACTCTGTTCGTCTCACGAAGAAGCCAGCTGTTAGCTGTTCCCCGACACACCCCGTCAGAATACTGATTACCTCGTCATGTTCACGGGAATCCTAGCCAAACGTTTCTGCGTCATGATGCCGTACGCACGGCATCCTGAAGCGGATTGAAGCGTATTCGAGCGTGGCCACCCTCAACGTTGATCTCGTGGGGTGAAACGAGGGAAGAACCCGTCGAAGGGCGATTCCAGGAAAATTGTTGGTACGGGATTATGAATGTCGACGTGGCTCGAGGGAACGAGGCGACGCGACGGTGTCTGCGGCAGCTGCAACCACCGGAGACTGTCGGCCACGTTTTCTTCTATCGACCGTATCGCACTGCGGCGACGAATGGCACTGGCGGCTTTACCTCGTGGCGCGCAGGTTTCA